CAGTTTCAATTTCATTGTTTTGAGCTTGAAATGCATCGAAACAAAACACTCAGAGAAATTTCAAACAGCGCTTAATATGCACACGCACACAGAGGGGTATTTCAAGCAAATAAAAAAGAAGTTACACAGAAAGCCAATCCATGTGTTACAGATATGAAACGTTACTTTCAGAATTTTCATTCTGACATTAAGACCATTTTGGTAGAAAACAAAAAGATACCCAAGATACTATGATTTTCAGAAATGGCTAGCAATTTGAAGTGCTTAGCCTAAGATATGCTCAGCATTTTTACACTTTTGAAAATCTTAAGTTACGTGCCTTGCTAATCAACATGTTTTGATTTGGATTGAATGCCAGCAAGCCAAGAGCAATTCAGCAACCTTCCTTTCCTCTTTTCCCTATAGAATCTATGGTCCCAAGAAAGAATAACTTGTGGTCCTCTCCTTTTTCAGTCCAGGAAGTGTCTCATCAGAAACAATTCCATTTAATCTGAGCATGAGTGTACTCTTATTCAGAAAATACTTGGACTCCTCTGCTATTACCGAATTGCATGTATGGAAGCTATTGAGTCTGCAGCTCTGATACCTTGACAGAAATAAAATGAAAGTTTGCTTTGATTTACAGAGTTGTACTTTACAGAGCTGTGATAGAAGCAAGCACTTAACTGGGACCTGAACAGATGAAGGATAAGAGAAAGAACATGGGAAAGCCATTAACTAGTACAGGTTTTTCTTATTTTTGTGGCACAATGATACCAGGAGCATTTTTATTCCTGCTTCAAAATAACAGCAATACTGTTAACATACCCATTATACTTTAATCAAGAATGAATTAGACATCCCTGATTGTTTTTCACTGTGACCTTTAAGTTTCACTTTTATTTACTCTTCCACTGAAATGAGATTTAGAGTTTGCCAAGAGCCATGCACATATACATATACAATGTCTCTTTCTCAGGCTTGTTCCCAAGGCTCCAACATGCTCATGACTGTACAGATATAAACTAGCTGGGAGATGGAAAAGATGGCCAAAGCTTGAGACAGAAATATTTGGTAAGGGCTACAGGTTGTGGAAAAAAGGTGAAATGTGCTTAGAGATCCTCCATTGTATCTGGCTTTCTGTAGAATTGTGAAGTTCTAACTAGGGTGAATGTATTGTGAAAAGCACATGTCCCATACCTGCAATACTAGATTCTATTGTTACTTTTTTTGGAGCCTGAATTTAATACAAACTCTTAGAACATATCTAGCACTTAACATCTTAAAACATAGGCAAAGCTATCTATTGGCTAGGGCACACAAGTGGTAATTAAGAGACATAGTTTATTCCCAAGTGAGCTACTGACTCACTGTGTAATATTAGGCAAGTTATAAATTACATACCCTCCCAGTGCCCACTTTTCTCTAATTGCAAGAGTCACATTGGATCATGCTCCATGAGTGGTTATCGATGGATCAATATCTGACTGAGAGGAGGTACTGAGGAGGGTTGCCCCGGGAGTCCATCCTGGGTCTAGTATTATTTATGGTCTTTATTAATGATTTGGAGGATGGAACTGAGGCCACACTTCGCAATTATGCAGATGACAGCAAGTTAGATGGAATGGACACACTGGAGGATAGGGATAGGATGCAGAATGACCTTCATAAGCTTGAGAAACAGTTCTTCCCTCTGCCCCCCCCCAAAAAAAAAATCAAAATTAAAAAATGGAATGAAATTCAACAAGAGTAATGATTCTTCTACTGTATTTTCCTTTGATGAGGCCTTACTTAAGAGTATTGTGGGCCCTGCACTTCAAGGAAAATGTGGACAGATTAGAAAGTGTCCAGAATAGACCAACAAGATAATTAGAAGTCTAGGAAACATGACTTATGAGGAAAAGCTGATAAAACCTATGATTACTGTATTTACTAATGTGCAAGATGAGGTTTCTTCCCCACCCCCCCAAATCAGCATGGAGAAAAAACAAGCCCCAGCCAGAGCTGAGCTGCTCCCTGATTCAGGCCCAAATGGCTTATTTGATGGGGGTTGAGCCATGCAGCTAGGATATCATAGGAGACACCACAGGGTATGGGGAGGAACCTGCAACCTGCCTCCCATGCCTGTACCTGCCCTTCCCCAAGAACCCATTTGACTCCTCTCCTTACCTTCTGCTCCAAGGCCCCACCAGGGGAGACGCCTTGTTAGACCTAGTGCTAGCCACGGGTGATGACCTGGTGAGGGGGCTGTG